TAATGTCACATGGAAAGTAATGTTAATTTTAATGTTTTTTGTTTTACATCAGTTTATAGCAGCAACAATCCAATTCCTCAGACGGACAATATACGCTACCTCGGACTAATATTTGACAGAGGGATGACCTGGGGCCCACACGTCAAAATGAAAAGAAAGACTTTGAACAAGCGACTGAAAATACTTTATTAACATTTTTCTAAATAAAAATTGGAAATTAGACAAAAACTAAATACATACACTTACCTGCTTAAACCTATTTGGACATACGCCTCACAGATTTACGGTTCAGCTAAAAAGACTCACTTACAAAAAGTACAATCTTTTCAATCTAAAATATTAAGAGTAATAATTGCATTCCCCTGGTATGTCAACAACAAGACTTTACATACCGACCTAAGACAACCAACCATTGACCACCACATACATACTCTCTACTCCCGATTTCATCTTAAACTACACGGACATCACAATGGACTTATCAACGACATGTCCACGGCTGAAATGCTCATCAGGAGGCGACTGAAAAGGAGCTGGCTGAGAGATCTCCTTTCCTGATTTTATGATGTAAACAGACCAGGGAAGAGGTGCTGCTGGGTTCTATTCTTCATGTCATTTTCTACATAACAACAAATCTGATATTTGTCACTACCTGACATGATCATGAAGGTGCGGATGAAGAATTGAAGAAAAAAAAATTGTTTGAAAATAATAAACCATTGTGTAATAATTGGTTTTTTATATTGCTGACGTATTTTAATGAAGTTTTCAAACATTGTGAGGATAGTTACATGGTCACATATCAATTTCATAAAGTACTATGAATACCGTGGCGTATACATTTTTTTTTTTTACAATTTCCATTAAAATCAACTGCTTTAAAAAAATATGTTTGTATATGTAAGCTCAAATGTATTTTTTAGTGTTTCCCATAATCGGTCTTGGTCGTGCACTTCGCTAGACCAAGACCAGGACTAATACTACCTAATTATTTTCAAGACCAAAACCAAGAATGGACTTTGCAAAAAAACAGTGTTTTTGTGAGTAAAAATTAAGGCAGAATAGTTATTTTTACAAGACAATTTTAGTTACAATATATAAAGAAATGGTGGAACCAATATACTTTGCATTGAGCTGTTCCAATTTTTCATGCAATATTTATTTAGGTTTCCAGATTCTGAAAAAATGATATCTCTTTATTATGTAGTGGTAATATATTTTAGAAGGTTATTAAATTTCCGACAAAACTATAACAACATCGTATAAATCGGACTAGGTTTAGCAACATTACAGTCTCGTATTGGTCTTGCATTGAGAGAAAATTAATATTTTCAGAAATGGCTCGTTCAATTCGCTCCCGAGCTGAAGGAAATAGAGTAAAAGTAATAACTTTTTCACCGGATCGCATTTAACATTTATAAACAATAAACGTTTTTGTTGATAATCTAATGGCAGTGAAATGTACCGACAGACGTTAAATAATAGTTCCATCGTTACTCTAGTCATCATATATGATCACGAAATTTTGAGCGTAAACGAAGTTCTAGAAAGCTACTTTTTTCGATTTAATCTGAAATGAAGATTTAACGACGCATATCCGGTGATGTCTAAAGAGTGCATAAAATGGAGGAGGACTAACACTGCCATACGTAGAGATCAAGGCATCTCTTAAAGAATTTTGAAAAGAAGAAGAATGTTTCCGGAGCCGTAGATTTTGAAAACGATCTCCATTTTAAGATTAGGCCACCGCGTTTCGATTTCTTTGAGTTTTTCGGATTTTATTCATATGATGATGTATTCTTATGTTTCCGGAGCCGTAGATTTTGAAAACGACCTCCATTTTAAGATTAGGCCACCGTATTTCAATTTCTTTAAGTGTTTCGAATTTTTATCATAAAAGAATGTATTATTATGTTTCCGGAGTCGTAGATTTTGAAAATGACCTCCATTTTAAGATTACGCCACTGCGTTTCGGCTTATTCAAGTTTCAGTAGACCTTTATATTGGATAAATTCTAAAAACTTAAATAAGTCAAAACACAGTGGAGTAATCATAAAATGGAGGTCATTTTCAAAATCTACAGCTCCGGAAACATAAAAATACACCAATACATCGAATAAATAAAAAAAAACTTAAATAAGTCGAAACGCAGTGGCGTAATCTTAAAATGGAGGTCATTTTCAAAATCTACAGCTCCGGAAACATAAAAATACTCCCTTATATGAAAAATATCCGAAAAACTCAAATAATTCGAAACGCGGTGGCCTAATCTTAAAATGGAGGTCGTTTTCAAAATCTACGGTTCCGGAAACATAAAAGTAGACCTTTATATTGGATAAATTCTAAAAACTTAAATAAATCAAAACACAGTGGCATAAACATAAAATGGATGACATTTTCAAAATTTACTGATCGGGAAACATAAAAATACACCATTATATCGAATAAGTAAAAAAAACTTAAATAATTCGAAACGCAGTCATGTAATCTTAAAAAGGAGGTTATTTTCAAAAACTACTCATACGATAACAGACCCACACATCGAAAAATTAAAGATAATTAAATAAATAAAAAAAGGTTGAATTTGAAATGGAAAAGGTTTAATTTGAAATGGAAAAGGTTGAATTTGACTTGGAAAAAGTTTAATTTGATTTGGAAAAGGTTGAATTTGACTTGGAAAAGGTTGAAATTGACTTGGAAATGCTATATAAGAAAATATTATACAAACTCAGTTTGATATTTATATTAATGGTCCCTCTCCTCCTCCCCCCAATCTATTACTCCTAATACGATGCCTATCCTGACGATTTTCTAATGCACCTATCCTTTCTGCCTTCTGATCTATTATCAAGCCCCAAAGCAAATACTTCAAAAACACTTGAATAGAATGTATGGCTGGGCAGAATCTTGCAAGTTGAAGTTGATTGCGGAGAAGACGGATGCAGTTGTAATAGGCTACAATAAGTTTCTTAAAAGGCATTGATGAACTACTTTTTCTCTCTTAGGTCGCGTATTGTCATTAAGAAAATGAAAATCTGTGCTAATTATGGCCCTGGTTCGAGGAATGTACTTCTCTATAATTTCTTGAACAGAAAGGACTGCAATGGGGTTACCTTTCTTAATATGGAGTAGAGTTCTCTCCGCCCCCCCTCCCTCAGTAGACTACATCGAAAGAAGCACAAACTATGATAGTTTACCCATCTCCTGTTCTAGGTAGACTCTTCAGTTCCTACGATCGCAATGAATACAGAAACGTGACTTGTCTGTTAACATAAAAGCATTCCAATTTGTATCCTCATCTAGGCGCTACTCCATGATCTGCGGAGCTCCTGATGACTCACTGTTGTTGCTGCTCGTTTTAAAGGAGGATAAGATATTAGACGAACTTCTGGCAAACGATTACGAATGGTTCGTGTTGATATGGGCCTTGGCAGAATATTAAACACTTCATTGAAGCTCTGTCGGACGCTATGAAAATGCTTCCTTCTTGAAGTAATAACAATATTTCTGACGTCGCTTGGCGCCGTAATGTACTGAGAACCAGTGATAGGTCCTCCATTGATACTTCTGAATCACTTAAATCTGAACCTGGCTAAAGCTCGGGAGACCACAATAGATATCGCCAATTCCATCGGTGATATCTGCTTGCTGATGCCCTTCATGGCTCGTTCTCAAGTTATATTGTGAACTTCTGGTTCAATATGATGTATTTTCTTCGTTAGACAAAATCTTACTGAAATAAAACTTCAAAACAACTGTCAAAAATGAGTATTCTTCAAGTTGACTAACCTTTAGTTAATAATTTATTAAAAATAAACAATACTTTTTATGTTTACCGGCAAAAAAGAGAATTCTAACGAACAAAAAAAAAGTATTTTAATTAAAATGAATAAAATAAGCAAGTAATAGAAACATCCCTATTCGTTTTTAGCAGTATATATAAATTGTTAGTTCGTTATTAATTATTATTTCATATATCTTTATTTTTTAAATTCACTAATGTAGAAATTAACTTATAATTTGTTTATTTATTAATACTATTCGTTTATTTTATTATTATTTTTTATATAGCTCTGAGTCTCTGAAGCCCGCAATGCTGTTATTGTATTTTATTGTAATGTGTCTTGTTCCAAAATAAATACAGCATGTTATTACTATTAGTATTACTATATAACAGCAGTTTTTAAATAGGAAAAAAAATCGAATGATTAAAAAAAAAGTTAATCGAATGATAACAGAAGGGCATAACAGAAGAAAGAAAATAACCTAATAAACAATAAAAACTCTAAAGGTTTAATACTCCTTACTGGTACACGTTACTCTTATATCATTACTACCATGAAATAAAACAATATTTTATTATGTTTTGACTTCTGAAATATCAAGGATAACTAAGGCGTGTATTAACATTTACGTTTATTTGCCAATACTTGTACGATTAGCCAATACAATTGCTACTTGCATGAAATATTAAAATACAGAAAAGGCCAACGAGAAAAAAAAGATTTATAACTCTTATCTAGGGCACTTGACCGGATAGCAATAATTACACCGCCCCATGCTCTGTTACAACTTCCAATAACCAATAACCCTCATTTGCCTCACCCTGATATGCAGCATTGCACTACTTACCGCAACATTTCCCAGGATATGTATCACCTTGTTCGAATATATATGTATTAAAATGAATTATATTTTATAATTAAATATTAAACAATAATAATTATCAACAACTCAAAATGAGTGCTACTGAAAATTTTATGAGATCTTTTACAAGGTGTGATGAAAAAAACAAATCTTAATCGGAATATGGAAAATGGGAATATGTTCTCGTATAGTAAATAGTTGTTTACCGATCATAGTTTTAAATTAAAATACCAATAAATAATAATATCTTGGCAATCTCACTTTAACTGGCATCGATTAGTAAACTGCAGAATAACCTGCACTTCCCTCCTAAAATGGTGCTCATAATTGAGAAACCAACTAGAGAGTAGCAGAAAAAAAAAAAAAAAGGTCTTAGGCATCTGTTAACAACACTGTTAAATAATAAATTATTTATTAATCATCACTATTGTAGGAATTAAATTTGGGTAGGACACTGATATCGAATTTTAAGCTGTTCGCACTGAAAAGAACTTAGTGGACGTAGGAAGAATATCCAAGTCCGTAAGCAGACCTGTATCCAAGTCCGTATCCTCCGTATCCAAGACCGCCGTAGGCTGGGGCAGCGACGGCAGCGACTGGGGCGGCGTAGGATACGGCGGGGGCGACGTGTGCAACGGGGGCGGCTACACGAACTGCATTGGTGACGGTCCTGTAGGTGTTAGCGTAGGAGGTGGCGACTGGGGCATGGGCGACAGCGACTGGAGCATGAGCTACAGCGGCGACTGGGGCGGCGTAGGACACTGCTGGGGCGTGAGCTACGGTGGCGTAGGCGGGGGCGGCGTAGGAGACGGCGGGGGCAGCAAGGTATCCGGCTGAGGCGGAGGCGACGACGGCCAAGAGGATTGCCTGCAATAAAAGAAAATAGTTGTTGTAATCCTGTTGATGGTTTATCAGTGTCTATATTGCTCAACTATTTGTAATACTTACGATCTTGTACATGTTGGTAAGTTGCTTGTCCTGCTGCAGAGAAGGATAATGCTATTGCAGGCCGGAGTACTCGTTATATACCCGTCGCTGCATAGGGAAGGGGATCAGGGTCGGAGGAACATTGATACCTAGGGTTTGGTCAGTACATTTTTTTTTTGTATGTTATTAATTTCATATCTTGATTTATTATATACTGTAGCTGTTCTTAGTCAATCTTAGAATAATTAAATATTTTATACTATTGGATTTATACGTTTATTGATTTTTTTCATTGAATGATTTAAAAATTGTTTTAAAATATGTGACCTAGTCTTTGGAATGTATATTAGATATATATAAAACTATGCAAATTGTAAAATTGTATTATTCTCAAGGGATTTCCTCTCAGGATATAGTTATTTTTTTATTTCTTAACAATACAATCGGACAATCTGCATATTTTTATTTGTTTCGTATATAGCTATTTTATTTGATGTTTTCTGTTGTTGTTTTTTTCTGGTATTTTATTTAATGTCTCAAATATCTTTCGGCCATAATTAATCATTTATTCCTCTCTCTCTCTCTCTCTCTCTCTATATATATATATATATATATAAAACAACAACAGAAAACATAAAATAAAATAGCTATATACAAAACAAATAAAAATATGTATATATATATTTATATATATGTATATATATAATTATATGTATGTTTGTATATATATATTTATATGTATGTATAATTATGTATTTATATATATATATATATATATATATATATATATATATATATATACATTATATATATATTTTTTTTTTTTTTTTTTTTTAAGTTATATTAAGTCCCTATAAATTCAATGTAAGAAAATAGAAAAAGGGTTCTTACTTTAAGGATAATTACTTAATTTAATTAAGGATAATTACTTTGATTTATTATCCTTAAAAGTAAATGTTGTTGGATCATTTTAGTTTTAGAAACAAGTGCTGAAGAAATCATATTATTTAAGTTTATCATCAAACAACGTATATAAGTTCAACACACCTATTCTAATTAAGCAGTGAGAACGATATTGATAATGAATATTTATAATATTACATAATTTTGAATATATATATTATTTGCCTTAAATGAATAAAAACATAAATTCTACAACTAGTAATTTAATGATTATTTGAAAATCGTTGAACATAATTCAATATATATTTATACATCTTCTTGCATATAAAAACATATTTTATCTTATTCCTTATATGATTTATTTGTTGTTAACCAAATATTTAACATAATTTTGTATTTCCGATAATCTCAATAAACCGATTGAGATTGAAGCTCATAGAAGAATGGGCATCAATGGGAATTTTCGTCCTATTAACATGTAATTAATAGAAAGATTGCCTCGAGTTGTTAAGAAAGTACTAAATAACACAATTTATAATGGTAAATATTGGAGATTAAATAATCCATAAAAAAATGTTTAATATTTTATTAAAAGAGGCATATTATTTTTAAGACTGAAATCGTGATTTGTTATTTCGTACTGAGGAAATATGATCTTTATCTTATCATAAGTTTTATTTCATTTCCATGAGTCAACTTCTGAACTAGGACAGTTAGTAGCGGTTGTCTGTCCTTGCAATGAGTTTTCATTTTCATCTTATATCTTATTTTACTATAATTGTTTGAAATTATGAAAGGGTTGAATTTCATTAAGTTTGTATGGAAATTTAAATTTATATTCCATGATATGATCATAATGTGAACTTAGTCTTCATGACTTAGCGACTATATATTTATTAACATATGTCATAAATTTCTCAAAAAATATGTGCAGTATGTTTTTAATTTTGGGGGCATAGATAAATAATTAGTGGTACAAACCCCTTTTTAGAAAATGATTAATATCCTGCTGAAACTTCCTGAATAGCTTCATCTCATCGTAACCTACAAATATTTTATTCAAGAAAATTCTCTTAATTGGAACGTTTTCAATCTGGAGGTTGGCAAAATTTGTTTTTTTAATTAGGTACTAAAAACTCGTAAATACCCATTTGCTTTCCACTTGAAACGTAAGATAACTTGAGCAAAAAGTTGGCCTTCAAACATATTGAGCCGTTTGGTATGACCTACACACCCAAATTGTCAAAATAACGAGGTTATATAGACCAAATGAGTATTCTTCAGAAATTCAGATTGAAAACTCCCCATTTTTGAGAACTTTCTTTAATATAAAAATTGTAGAAGAAGCCAGTCACGAAGTTTTAGGAAGATAATTTGATAAAAAGGTGCCTATACTAAAAACTCTTTTGCTTTCCACTTGGACCGTAAGATAATTTGACCACAAGATCTATAAAAAAAGCTGGCCTACAAAAATATAGAATCGTTTGTTCTATATAACCTCTATCTTGACAATTTGGGGATGCAGGTCACGCCAAACGGCTCAATATTTTTGAAGGCAAGCTTTTTTCTCAAGTTATCTTACGATTCAAGTGGAAAGCGAATGGGTATTTTCGAGTTTTTAATACGTAATTAAATAGAAAATGTTTGTCCCCTTCCAACTTTAAAACGCCCCTATTCCATGAGATTTGGTAAATGAAATATTTTTAGGTTACAATGCGATGAAGCTATTTACGAAGTTCCAGCCGATGCTAATAATTTCCTAAAAAGGGATCCTATCATACCACGGGCTAAAAGGTTCATAAGAGAATATTTCGCTGCTTTTTGGTATGACACACAAACTTCTGCAAAACCGCATGATAATACATTTATCATTTTAAAAGAAAATATTCATGACGTTATTTGTTGGGTTAAAGTTGCGATTCGGATAGCGCAAAATTTAAAATAATATAAATTTTAGAAAAGTTATAAATGGCAGAGCAAAATAAATTTGCGAGTGTTATGAGATTAAAGGTGAAATGAAATATGCTTTGTTTCATCAAAATGTGAGGAGATGGGTATCATAACTGTGGTTTGATAGGAAACGACTCATACCTCCATTTGGTCAATTTTTTTTTATCAAACGAGATTTTTCATGGAATAGAGAATTAGGCATATAAAGTAAAATCCTTCAGCAGAATTTAAAGATATATTTCACAGAAAGACAGAACTAGCTCGTAATAGAGCATAAGATACTTGAAGAAACTTAGATATGATTCAATTGTATGATAAAATATTTTTTACTCTTACATAAGTAAGTGAACGGTTCAGTAGTGCTGAAAGTAGCTTAAACCTGCATTAAAACTAATGAATATTATTATAAATAAACAATGTTAAACAGGACGACGTTTGATTTACGTACTTTGAGAGAGAATAAAGTCACCACGGCTTATTATTTCTTATATCCATCTAATTATAAAATGTCCTTAGTTTTACTTAATCGACAATGTTTAGGTCAATCAACGCAACCCTCAGAAAGTAGAAAATGATTTATTTTTAATGTTTTTTAATATTTTAATGATGTGTTTTTGGTGGCCAGCAAGTGTTGTTATAACTTAAAATATTAAATTAATTAGTAAAAATGAATGGCAAATAGTTTAAAATGTTTTTACTCATCCAAACTTTTCGTTTTGAGAATAACACTCATTAAATTAAACATAGTCATTATGTAGGTTTACATTAAATATTATTTAAACAGAATTTATATTAGACAAATCTGGTAAAGAATTGAACCATTAACGTTTTGTAAAAAGTATATTTATTTTCGTCAATTCATCAATCATTCAAGTTCAAAGATATTAAAGTAAATATGAGCAGTCATTTAATTTTGTATGAGAATTATTCCATAGAGGTATAGTCCTGAAATACAAAATGGCCACTCTGAACTTTGAATTAAAACGTATTTTAGGCATCGAGAAAGAGATACCGAAACAAGGATAGTAATGAGAAAACGAGTTGTGCTCTGGTATATGGAAATAGAGCGATTCCCGTAAGTTAGGGGAAATTATAGCAGAGCTTAAGAGCTGCAAAAAAGTTCATATAAACTATGGCCTAATTTTCAGCAGAAAAGTAGGAAATCTAACTTCTTTTTTTTTATAAGTAATTCTCGTATTTTGTTAAGTAGGAAGTGGTAACTAAGAAATATTTAAGTTAACTAATTAAGACAATTTCTTCACTGTAAACTAGATAAAATTTACTTCAAATAGTGTTTCTCATTGTAAAAACAACTTAAAGTGGAGTTTTGAGTCACTAAGTTTTGGTTTAAAAAAAAATATTTATATATTTATGACGCGTATAATTTATGATTTTTTTTAAAACTATAACTTAGTTTCCTATAGCTGCTCAAAAGTCCTCATTGATTAATGGATTGAATAATGATAAATTCTATTTTCATTTGAAGTAAATTTTTTCTACTTTAAAGTGAATCAATAGTTAATTATTTAAATTTAATATTTCTATAGTCATCGCTTCCTATTAAAAAAAAACAAACACAAAACTTGGATTTCATAATTTTTTGCTGAAAATTGGCCCATTTTGTATATGAAAATTTGTAGCTCTTGAGGTCTAATATCACTATTATAAAATTTCGCTCTACTTACGAGACATCCTATATATTGTACATTACATATTACTTCTTTGTTAAATAACTGACTATAACTCTGCCATAAATGTTAATACTCAATGTGTAGTAACAAAACAATCATTAATTAATTTATGCGATCCATTAGATTTTATAGAAATAGGATTTTCCTTGGGCTAGAGGATTACACCTATCAAGTAAAATCCTTCAGTAATCAATTTTGCGGAAAGATGTAAATAGCTCGAAATCGAGAATAGGTCACGAATCTGAGGTATGTTACTAAACAGCATAAAATATTTTTCCTCTTTTTGATCTAGTACGAATGTATTTACACTTTGATTGTAGTACTAATGATAAACAAAACTTTAATCGATTTTCGCATTATTTTACTTTCGAAAATAATAACTTAAAAAGTCATCTCTAGTCTAGCTTAGAAAACCTGTTTCTATAACGTATACATGTATGTAAATCGTACATTAAAAAAAAATGATATGAATAAATGTAAAACTATTACTATCCCTGGCGAAGGTGTCAGTGTTCCTCCGACCCTGATCCCCTTCCCTGTAAAGCGGCGGGTATATAACGAGTACTCCGAGCTGCAATGGCATAGCCTTCTCTACAGCAGGACAAACAACCTATCAACATGTACAAGATCGTAAGTACTTCCAGCACTTGGATATAGTTTGCAGCACTCCAACTACAGAGTAAAAATAATATATTTTTATTGCAGGCAATCCTCTTGGCCGTCGTCGCCTCCGCCTCAGCCGGATACCTTGCTGCCCCTGCCGTCTCCTACGCCGCCCCCGCCTACGCCACCGTCGCTCACGCCCCAGCAGTGTCCTACGCCGCCCCAGTCGCCGCTGTAGCTCATGCTCCAGTCGCCGTCGCCCATGCCCCAGTAGCCACCTCCTACGCTAACACCTACAGGACCGTCACCAATTCAGTTCGTGTAGCCGCCCCCGTCGCACACGTCGCCCCAGCTGTATCCTACGCTGCCCCAGTCGCAGCCGTCGCTGCCCCAGCTTACGGAGGTCTTGGATACGGAGGATACGGACTTGGATACAGGTCTGCTTACGGACTTGGATATTCTTCCTACGCCCACTAAGCAAATAACATATTAGCTTAGCACTTCAAGTCCAACCCAAATCATGTTCCAACAACATTAGCAATCAATAAAATAACTTATTATTAAATTATATATTTTTCAATTATAATTTGCCTTAAAATTCTTTCATCGTATATTACCGTAAACATTTTGATCCAAGTGAAGATTCTGATGGTACATAGTTATCTACTTCCAATTGCTTAATTGGTAGATGTTGTTTAACATAGTAGTAAATTTGGAAGCTTGTTAGAACCCCTATAACCATTAGAACCATACTCACTGTTCAGTTGATTGAGATATTTGTAAGACGCATCTTAGATCCAATTTTTATAAATGGCCACCAACATCATTCAATTTTGCTACTCCAAATCACTTTTTTATTCCTATTAAAAGATATTTAGATTTTCAAACTGTACTTTGAGCAAACAAAATTTGCTATTTTTTAATTTCCTCTTGACATTCTTCCCAAATAAAAAGATGGATCATAATTTATTTACTTCAGAAAATAAACTTTAATGATGAATAAGTTATAAAAAATATAATGTTGCACAATAATGTTTTTAAAATATAGTAGAAAACTTCAATTAAAAAATGGCGGGAATTTTAAAATAAAATTTTATTATCATATGGTAATGACTCTTTCCGATTTGATTAAAGATATTTATGACATTAAATAATGAAATAATTAAATACATAATTTTGATCATGTCTTCCTATATTTATCTCTTTAACAACCTTCGTGTATTCTTATTTCTATTTACCAATATATGTAATATGCAATAAGGGAAAGTATTGCGATTGCAAAAATTTCGAATCTAAATTTTTAACAGAAATACTTCTTGTAGTCCCCTGTGTCCAAATAACAAAGTCCCACAAAATGCTGTGTGTATGTTTTAGTGTATGCATTTTTTCGTTGTGTTTATCTTTGTGTGTCTGTGTGTATGGGAACAGTCTAGCTCAAAAGAGAAAAGTCGCACGAAACTGAAATAACATCTTTAAAGTATGTAGAAGCTTAGGATATTACAGCGACTTTTTTCTTAAAACCGGCTAACCTGAAATGACACTTTATATCTCACTTTTTTTTACGCTTTTATAATTTTCTCAAAAACGGCTTTAACGATTTTGACTAAGCTCAGTACACCAATGTGCAATAATTGATCTTTAATAATAGGTAAGTATTATACTCTTTGATTTCGCCTAACAAGGCTTAAATGCCCAATGTTCACAAATTTTTTCTCAAAAGTAAAACTAATTTGGTTTATTTTATTTTACCGTCTGTCATTGTTAATAAAAGTAAAAAAAATGTTAATTTGATAATTGACTAAAGGAGGAAAAAAATGTTTTTTTTAGGTTGAAAATGAATTTACGAAAATAATAGTCAGAAGGTATAAATACTTCGATAGAAAACTGAGAATTTCAGAAAAATCAATACCTTACATACTAAGTTGCAGAGGATAATAGAAAGCAACGAAAAAACTTAAAATAATTTCTGAAATTAATATTTAATAGAAACCAAATTTTTCCATGGAAAATAAATCAAATTTCCTAAATAAATGTAAATTTATATAATCTTTTTATATAAGCTTGAAAAAAAGGTACATATAATTTACTGAATCGAGGCAATGAAATTGTTTAAGAACTATTTTATTGTACAGTATTTGTGTTAAAGAAGACGTACATTTATACTTATACATTCAACGAAGTTTCATAAGTTTTTATTCGATAATATTTTTAAATAGTTAGCTATATTTTGTCGTTTTGTAATATAACATAAAATAACAATTTAGTAAGTTTAGATTTTAGGTGAAATTAAATTTACTATATAAATAAAGACTGCATTTTTCGCAACATTTATTTTCATTTCTCCTCCACACATCCAATTATGAAATTAACAGAATGAGCATTATTAACTAGATGGCTTGAAAATGGCATCATAGTCGAAGCGTGGCCACTGTGCAGAAGAGATGAAAATAAATATAGTGAAAAATACAGCCTTTATTTATATAGTAAACTTAGTAAATAATTTGATGAGTTTTCTCTCTGTGAAATCACATTATACACTTATAATTAGTGACGACTTTTGATCTATCGATTATGCACAGCAAAGATCCTGACTATATTATGTTACATTTTACGAAGAAAATAGTTATAGAACTTTAATTTGTACAATTTTTACTATGTAGTACAATTCTTACTTATTCATAGTTAAATATATATATATAAACATTACATAAAGACTTATAGATGCCAACAGGTAACGACGAACACATATACGAATACTTAATATACGAACACACTACAAAGTATTTCACAGTAACTTACACCGCGGGCGGATCTACGGGGGGAGGGGAGCTTTCGGGTTGAAGACCCCTCCCCCTAAATGGGAAAACATAATCATGTTTTATCGAAAAAAATATTTAAAAAATATCTCTCAAAGTCTTATCGTTCGTGTAATTACATTTAAAAGGGCTTTAGGAATCACTTAAACACCATTTCATGTAGGCAGTAAGTTTCTTTCTTTTTTTCCAAAGTAATTATAGTTATTTTTATGAAAAAAAAAGCTTTCGGGCTGAAGCCCCCTCCCAAAATTAAATCCTGGACCCGCTAGTGACTAACACGGACATACCAACTCACTAATTCAAGGCATAGTAACAACCAACATGATCGATGGCACCCGTAGGATGCTCAAGAGATGCTGGATGAGGGATCTCCTCCACAAACGATAAATATTAAGTCAAGATAGGCAGAGAGGCCGCGGGGCACTTTTCACCCTCACGCCTACCAACGTCTTATTCCTTACTCTTCTCTACGACAGCATACTCAATGGTTGTTGGCACTCCCAACAGGTGTGAGTTCAGAAATAAAGAATAAATATATATATATATATATATATATATATATATATATATATATATGGTGTGTGTGTGTACTTTCAAACCTCTCTTTACATGTAGAGCTGAGAGACTAGAGTTGTGTGATTAAAATAGACTTATCGAGTTAGTAAGTTTTATACGCTACGATCGATATAATAATTAGAGTTTGTGTTTTTTGTTTTTTATGGTTAAATGAGTTTTTCATTTATAAATATGACAGAAATTTACAAATGTGTTCTTTAAAACTGATTGTAACAGCCTAATTTTAGCAGACAATTTCTGTTCAAAGATGAGCGGCAAGTGATTTTTGATCAGATTTTTATAATTTATTATTAGAAATTTACAACATTATTACAAATAAATAAAAACAAATGTTTTGATAAATAAAATATGAAATTAACTATGAACGAACAAAAAAAAAAATAGAATACCTTGATAATGATTATATGATAGGTCTTTTTTATTTTATTATTTCATTTTATTCGTTATTACCTTTTTTTGTTAGTGTTTCACATTAATATCGTGGAGGGCACCTATTATTGTACACCAAACACAATTGAGCCAATATGTCAGGCTGTGGACTTGTAATTACAACTCTATTCTGTGTGGAAGGCATTGCTGACTTCCCTCGATATTCTATAGAGACCTATCAGAATTAGTGTTGCCCAAAATCGGTCTTGGTCTTGCACTTTGCAGTAATATCTCTATAGTAATAAGCTAATTAGACTGTTGTGAGACTCTTGCGCAAGACTAAGACCATGCCCAAGACAGAGTTTGCAAGACCAAGACTCGTCTCGGTCTCGCATTTGGGCAACACTAATTCTGATAGGTCTCTATAGAATATCGAGGAAGTCAGAAATGCCTTCCACACCTTCTAGATTTAACAGCTGTAACGTGGCTGAACTAATAATAACTGTTATATCTTATCTATTACTTAATTAACATAATTAATAAAGTATATATATATGAAGTAACAATTTTTTTTTATTTAATGATATTTACAACTGTATATATATATATATATATATATATATATATATATATATATATATATATAAAATAGATCTAGTAAATGTGCATACAGCAATGTAACAACATGAAATCGCTTGTTGAGGAACAACCCACCAGTAGCACTCTGATAATAAATTTACAGAAAAAGATCACGAGGCCACCTTATTTTCAGAAGCCTTAGAGGGTTATCGGGGATCGAGGAGGAAGCAAGGTTTGAAACGAGAGAGATCGGATGGTATTGAAGTTTGTTATGGAAGAACAGGTGTCTGGATCGGGCCAAATAGAAAACATATGGAAGATTAAGGTCATTATGGATGATTTTATTTGTGACAAAGTAAGGAGCGTTGAGGATTTTAGATTGTAAGGCATAGGTACGAGAGGAATTGGATGGTTTAGTGAAGCTCCAAAGCTCAATTCCGTACGTCCAAATAGGTCTTATTATTGTAATATATATATATATATATATATATATATATATATATATATATATATATATATATATATATATATATATATATATATATATATAATATATATATATATATATATATATATATATATATATATATATATATGAGTCGTTTGCAATTGATTGAAAGCTTAGAGCGTTAGAGTAGTAAGTGCTGGAGTAGTCGGAAACTTCGAGCGGTTTCTTGTCATTTCAGTCTTGTATGAGGATCTCATGTGAGACGTTTGACCAGGTGGAGTCCTAGGAAACGGATTCGGAAGTTAATAATAGCTTAACTATTATTATTTATCCAGTGTGTTTAAAAAAAAAAAAAAAAAAATCAAATCAATATGTTCTTTCAACTGGTTTTCTGGTTACCCCATTATAAATAGATCTCAATAATAGTTTTCAACCCAAATACCAAACTCCAAAGACTCTCAAGAAAGCTCGAAGATAAACCTAAACGCCTAATGAATTGGTCAATACGCTTTATCTTCGGGATCTCAAGGAATACGCTCGTTACCCAGTTTTACACCGAGTTGAAGTGGCTTTATCCGTCCTACCGCCGTCAGTATTTTCTTGCTACCTTCCTATACCAGGCTAGAACTCGGCCAACCTCTTATATTCTACAAATGCTACAATTCAAATGCTCCTTTCAATCCTGCCCTTCCAGATCCTGTGCATCCGACCTCTATCCTTCTCCTCACCGAACTGCTTTGTTTGAAAAATCTTTTTTAATTCAAGCTTTTTCTCTCTGGAATTCTATCCCTTCTGATA